GATGGTAGACTTGATTTTCTAGAACAAAAGTGTAAAAAATGCAATTATTTACTGAGGCAAACTTTTCAGAAAAGATTCTTGAAGAGATAAAGTCTGAACACAGCTTTGAAGAATATGAAAAAGAAAAAAATTAAAGTGTTGCCTGGTAGCTCCAGAGTTCAGAAGGAAGTATCACATTTACAAAAGATTTGGTTTCAAACCATCTTTCAAGGAGTAGTGTATCAAATAATGCCTTCCTAGACTGCTCTGTTCCTCCCTCTCTCATATCATTTTCACAATTCAATCAACCGTTGACATATCACCCCCATTACTTAAAAATAATATGTGTCATTTTAATGTATTCCCAAGATGAGATATAACTTAAGCAGACAAACATGAGAGCATATTACAGTACCTATGTTGATATCACTTTACATATCGATGTGTTTAGAATAAAATTACGTTCCATACCTTCTTTACAAAGTTTCAAAGGGAAAATGTTGATGTAAGACATGTCTTTTTGTAGATGATTAGTCGACTGTAGTACATATTTTATCATATTTGTATCATAAGCTTGTCCCAGAAGAGAAGGAATTTAGCAGTTGTATTGTTTGCAATGTTTATGAGATCTACTTCCGATCACTTTGCACATTGAAGCAGCAGAAAGTATACATTTCATATTAAAGAGAACCCATGCACCGCTAATTATGATTTGTAAATAAAACATTGCTAAATCTTAAACAAGAATCATGTATTGAGAGCCGGTAGGGTATTATCTCATAAACTATACCACAGATGCCCTTTAACATGTCAATAAAGAAAATGTCTGTATTTTCTTAATATCTCTTCTCATTCAATCCCTTTCAATTTCAAAAGGAAAAGAAACATTATCTATATCAAACTAATTTCCTTTTGCTGATCTACCTTCACCTTCCTTTCTAGTACCTTATATTTTGACTTTCATTTTCTATTTAAAAAAATTGAAGTATTCTCCTTTCCTGGATAGCAAAGTTAGCAATGTATGATATAGTTCATTTGCTTGCTATTATTTTTCCATGACCATATTGTTAAGTCATCTGACTCTACTACAAATTTGCTTTAAGAAGTGATTGTGCCATAAAAATGGCAATATAACCTATAAATATGAACCTCTATTGATGATCAATTTGCAATTTTTATATGATCAGTAACGATGTATGATCAGTAATATTTATTTGTATGTGCTCCAGAACTAATTTTGGTAGTAGGGGTGGATAAGGAAGACATTAAATGTCACTTATTTATACAGGTATATTATAAAGTCTGGCTGTTTACAGAAGCAGATGTGTTCCAAGGCCGATGTCCCACATGCATAACATACTGGTGAATTCTTAGCCTCGTTAATGAGCATATAATGAGCCTATGATCACTCAGATAATACTATGGAATACTAGGAGGATGTTCAGCTCATCACATATAATCCCTCGTACAGTCAAACCTGTCTATAGCGACCGCCCAAAGTATACACAAAAAGTGGTCTTTGTAGAGAGGTTCCTATAGTACATGTTTCAATGAGAAACCATTTTCAAGGGAAACACAAAAAGTGGTCTTTGTAGACATGTTCCTTTTAGTACATGTTTCAATGAGAAACCATTTTCAAGGGAAACAAAAGTGTGGTCTTTGTAGACAGGTTGTTGTCACTATAAAGCAGTTTTGACTGTAATTGTATCATAATACATATATGCATTCCATTGATTTTAAAACATAGTAATTATCTTTTGAAGACATAATTCTATACTTTGTTAATGGTCATGGGAAGAAAGATTCTATTGGAGGTAATAACGGTAGAGAGTTGTTTTGGAATTATTTGCCTAGTTCTATCAATACAATCGGGCGATGGAAGAACTTAATTTAATGTAATTTAATTTTAATTAAGGAACTTTACATAACTATCTTGATCTAAGGAGACACGAACGAACGAATCAATACTGTTTGGTTCCTTCATTCTGTGGTACAAATAAGCCTTCTTATCAATCTAACTAGAAAGGAACCATTATTCTCTGTAAATTAATATTTTTATTAAAACATCCAGGGATATTTCTTAAACGCCACTATATACTCTTTACCTAGATCAATTAACAATTTAGACTACTTTCACAACCATATCAAATGTTAATTGTATCAAACGTATCAAATGTTAAGCAGTACATGTATCTTTTAATCCATTGCCTACTGGAACCAAGTGGTCCCTGTACTACATGTAAGCCTATGGGAATGAGAGAATACAGTACCGGTAATCTCAAATTTCAAATGGGTTAAGCATATTTCACAGAATATCTTCACTGCGTTCATTTTTGTTACATGATGGCTAATATTTTTGTCTGCTTTATCTTCTTGTTCAGAGCATTGACAAACTTCATCCTGGGTGGCTGCATAACATCGCTTGTCCAGAGCCGGAAGGGAGTTAACTCTGTGTTAAAGTACATGACTCTTTAAAACAGACAACGTCGCCCTATGAGAATAAGAGGTCATGTACTTTAGATAGATTCTCACTAGTATTGAGAATAGTTTCATATGGTAAAATTCTACTTAACCTTAACCTATTCACAATTCAATTTTCAAGTATTTATTAAATTCAAACGGACCGTGAAATAAGATTCATGACAACACAGATTCCACAAACAACCACAGCGGCCAAGCACAATGACCAAACTGAGTGCCTTCAGAATTGTGGAAGCATTTACTTACAATAGCTTTTTCTTGGTTCAATCACCAGAAACGTGCAACTGAATTTGCCTTTTTCAAGAGGAACTTTTAAAATCATTATTATCTTCTTCTTTTTTTTTTGGGGGGGGGGGGGGGAGTTGACACTGGTTTCTCATACAAAATCATTTTTTGCAGGTCTATACCAATTTGAATCTTACTATGACACAGCAATCTTTCACCACTCTATTTTTAGACTACATCAAAATATTCTTTCAAAATCGTAAACCTTTCCCTTTTAGTATGTATCAAGAATGATTTTGTTTACAATGTGGTCGAAACAATATCTATTTCAAAACGACAACTAAGAAACTTCTGAATGAAGATTTATCCTTGACTTTTGTACACTTCTATTATCATATCTCATTTCTGAAAAAGATTTTTTAAAATTCATATTTATCTTTTCTCAAGAGCCACATATCAAAGTACAGTCTTATGACGGTTGTATCAAGTACTTTCATTTTTATTTGCAAGGGCAAAGCATTAGAGTATGTGATTTTGCAATTTATTATTGTTGTAGCGGCAGATTTTAACTATTTCCTACTTCCTCCATGAGATGAATAAAGCAGAATAAGTTTCCTCTCTAAAATGCAACTTCACTGTACAGACTGCACATGCATGGTATTGATTGCACTACAAATAGCATTTAAAGTACATTTTAGGTTTCAGATTCCTCAATTTGAGTTGTCATAACATAATCACTCATTAACATTTACATGATTGTCTTCATACACTATTTTCTATTCAATGGCAGTTTAATACTTTGTCATGACACTGGAAGATTACTAGAGTGAGCACATGCCACAAAGCAATTTTCTGAGCACGTGCTTAGTTGCTTCTAAGCTTTTCACTGCTCTGTACATCTTCATATTATTATAATATTTATAAATTATCTATGCCATTTTTTAAACATGACATGGATTCCTCTCTTTATCAGATATCAAAATATGAGAAAATGGATTGTATATTGGGAGTAGTTTTGTATCAAATAAGCAAACTATTTTTGAAGTATTAGACTAGCATTTCAATGTTAACAGCCTTTTGCTTCAACGCAATAGTGTGCGTCCTTGTTTAGCAGAACAGCCCAACATGCTTACACCCTTTTACCAGCCGCAAGATGAAATCTTCTCATGATCAATTACAGATAGCAATGAAAGTAGTGAATCATAAACTATCATTTTCTTTCTTATTGATGACAAAAAAGATTTTTTCCCATACCGAATTGAAAAGAAACAATCTAGAAAAAAATACAAACTTTCTGATTTTTCGAGTTCAGAGCAAAGGAGAGGGGAGCTTGCAAGATACATAACAGAGTTGCCAATTTAGAGGGGAGCTTGCAAGATACGTAACAGAGTTGCCAATTTGAGTTTGATTGATTGCAACTTAGAAAATTCATAACTTTATTATTTTTAATCAGAATTTGTTCAAATATTCACTGACCTGTTTCTCTCATTTTTCTGCTTCTATAACAACCAACTTAATATCAGGGTGGACTTCCCCTTTAAGTAATATTTCAACAGAGCTCTTTAACTAGAACACAATGGATGGCATCTACTTTTCCTGTAGTTTACTATAAAAAGTAAATCAAAACAATTTTATCTAGCTAACCAGAATTAAAGTCAAAGATTTATTTTTCATTAAGTTTCTAATAATACTGATTAGAAAATTAGAACATGAAGCTATGTAAACAATTAAATGACATGGTACGGTACAGTTGTGTAAAAGATATATTAATAGCAAAACAGAATAAAAAGAAGGGAATAATTTAAATTTCTACTAAATAATTTATTTAAAGAGAAGGTTGAGTTCTGGGGAGAGGTGAAAACTAATTGTGAGCGTTACGATTGTTATTATGCAAGTGTGGAAGAACATCAGAGAAAAAATGCTCCCTGAAAAGCATGGCTCTTCAAATGCCTTCATATTCTAAATATGACATGTAACAGCTTTAAAGAGGCCCAATTTGTATGCCACATGTTTGTGTAGTCCCATACATCTTCCTGTGTACAGTGCTTGTTACTTTACCAAGACTTGGCCAAATTTCTTATCATTTTGATGACTCCAGAACCTTGCAATACACACATATTCTTATATGCTAGATGATCAACCTTTTCTGATTGATTCCCCAACGTTTCTTTTACAATGCAATCACACGACCAGGGCCCTGTTTCACAAACTTGTCATCAGTTATAAAGGACAGTTTTTGTTATAAGCTACTGAAATCCTTGCTTCTGATTGGTTATCAGCAGATTTGTCACTGATTTTTGTCATTTGTCATTAAAAAAAAGGCTTTGTGAAACAAATCCCAGAACTCAACTTTATCTTTAAAGCTGAGATAGTCAACAATCTTCAAAAAAATAAATTTCCTCTTTCCCTTTAGAATAACTTTACAAATATGGTGAAACATTTGAATAATAGAGATTTAGAACAGAACAATGTATATTTCATCACATTAATTTTCTAACTATCATATATACAATTAATAATATATCTCCAACTATTTACAAGAACTGTTTTTGAAATAAACAGTTATAATTACTGCACTTTAGGATTTTGAGTATTTTGAAGTTGTTGAGATGACACGTTAGTCGATGAGTTGCTGTTACATCATTAACAAGCACAGGAGCTGTCTGACGGTTGGTCATCGTCTCCGTCTAACTCTGCTTTATTTGGTCGTAGCTTGATTGACTTGCCCCTAGAATCCCTTGAATCAGCTTCATCAAACGGAGGAGGCATCATGGACTTGTGATCTCTTAGTTTGTGAGCCAAGGTCATGAAAACGTTATTGATCTTATCCCCCTCTTCCTCCAATTTTGCCGCCGTCTCAAAAAAGGGCATGTTGTTGGCGTCCGAGAACTTCTGGGCGATGCCCGACGTGACCACCTTCCTATCCGCCATGTCACATTTGTTGCCGACGAGGACGCGTGGCGTATCCGGGGAAAGAGAATGCCTGTCGCATTCGTCTATCCATGTCGGCAAGCTTTCAAATGTACTCATTTTCGTGACATCGTAGACAAAGATGACGGCATGTACATTACGGTAGTAATGCTGGACCATGCTCTTACGGAATCTCTCCTGGCCAGCAGTGTCCCAGAGTTGTAACTGTAGAGGGAGACAAACAAGAGATAAATGCCATTTAATAATAGGATTAATTTAATAAGAATGAAATGTCTTTCTTTACCCATGATAATAATAATAATAATAATGGGTTCTTGTATAGCGCACATGTCAGTCAGATTTGACCCTCCTGGCGCCCATTTACTTCACCTGGGTGGAGTGTGGAGTGTGGCAACATCAACATTAAAGGTATTACAAAGTTTTGGTATGTAGTCATGAATTTGGTTCAAATGAACATATTGGAAGCCTATGCGATTCTACAATATTCAGTGATCGTTGTCGCGGTCGAAATCGACTCTAAAGTTATGAAATTGTAAATAATAAACACTTTATGTTGAATAGCTCCCTCTCAAGGTCAAGATATTAATTAAGCTATAAAACAATGTTTATTGACTAAAATTGACTGATTAGCTATTCTCGTTTGGAAATTATATACCACAACTACATACTCTGAGATTTTCGTGGTCGCAGCTACCATTGCACGGCCGTATGAGCTATTTGACATTTATCAAAATTTACCGGGAGCACCGGTAAATCTTTATATTCAATTTTTCTCAAAAGCAGAAGTGTTTTAGGGGCTAAAATTTCTGGTGTTTGTAATACATCCACAGGGGCATCCAAATATATTAAAATTGTAAAGAATCAGTATCCACCCATTTTTCAAAATTTCCCAAAACTTTGTAATATCTTTAATACTTCTGTACGCGAGGGCCCTGCAATCATATTATTACTCCAAATTTAGCTAAGCGTCCATAAGGCACTCAAGGATTCAAGGAATGTCTTCCTCCTGAGTAGCCATTGTTACACCCGGGTGGAGAGCGGCAATTCAATGTACATTAATATCTTGCCAAAGAGCTTTAGTGCCCAGACGGGACTCGAACCATGAACCATGTGATGCACAGTTCAGCGACGTATCTACTAGACCACTTCATCTATGAAGTCTTGAGAAGGCTTGATAAGGTACATAATCAAAAGCAAGAAGAAATATCAGATATCTGACCAACACATACATTATATACCCTGTGACAGGGAGATTTTGACCTTTTAAGAAAGATCTTCATATTGATAGTGGGCTGATGATGCAATCAATCATCTGAATATTGAAACTGAAAGTGTTTTGAAGTTTTAATAACGATGAATGAACACTTTAATAAGTGGCAATATCACAGAAACTGCCTGATTAGTTAAGTACACAATCAGATGCGATAGCTCAGTCGGTAGAGCAGTGGTCTTGTAATCCGGTGACCCGGATTCGAAACCAAGTCGATGCGCTAGTGCCCTTTGGTAAAGGCACTAATCCTCATTACCAGGTCCCTCGGAGAGGACCTAAAGCTGTCGGCTGTCTGGTTGCTTATTTACAAGCATTTATGCTTTCTTAGCAGTGAGGTAAAAAAATAAAAAATAACAACCAACCAACCATATTGATAAAATATACAAATTCTGGTACATTCACCACACATTCTCTTAAATATATCCGTTTCTAACATGAGCATGTTTATAATCCATGAAGAAAATAGTAACTTGTTTTCAACTTTTCACAAATGACTGAAATGCAGTAGAACTTAGATATCCATGGCAAAATAATTCTTGAAATAATAATTCAATAGACAATAATGTTAACCAATGGATACATGTACAAATAAAATCATTCAGAAAACACAATATTCCATCAACATGACAAAATATGTACATTTAAATGTGTAATCCATGAAATAAATTTTTAGAACAAAAGTCAAACGAAGTCCATGAAATTCCTTGCAATTATCAGACCGATAAATAACACTGCTAGATAAAATGCCTACATGTTATGTAGATACAAAGTAGATGAGATACGTTTGTTGTCTATCGTTGATATGATCACATGACCTGTATGGAATGTGAGAGCGTGACACCATTCATTAATCAAACCCATCGGTGGTGCAGCATGCAGGGGGATGGAGGTGAGTGATCTCTTGCTTGTTGCATTCTTTCATTCCTTGATATGTGTAGCATCAGTAACAGAATATAAGTTGAAAAAATCATATGATAATTTTATACTTTTAGGGAACTTATTTTACAAGGCCCTTTGGCCTTTATTTTAGTTCCCCTTTTCTCAATTTCAACTGGTAAATTTGGTGTCTTTGATACTGTTAACATGTATGATTGCATGTAAATTTTGTTGGTATAATGTATAATATTGTAATGATCTATTGTTTTTATATGAAGATGGAAATAAATGAACAAATGAACAATCATTCAAATTAATTATTAGTACACTGCTCTGTACATTTAAAATTACAAATTGCTTTTACATTTCTAATCAATATATAACTGCTTTATACATTAAAAAACATGTAGCATTGCCTTATTGGGCTCATGCAGTGTTCCAATTTATTCCAGGTAAAATACAATTTTTCCGGCTTTATTTATTTATTTATTTTTACATTTAATTGATTAAAGAAGTGATATGACCCTGTTTAAAGCCTGTTTGTAGTTCTGATAATTGAGCTCCGAAACTGTTGTCAATAATATATATTCATTTACATTTTATCCAATCAAGATTAAATTCCAAGTTGATGAGAAAGTATTCCCTCTTCAAAGAAACAAAGAGAAAAAAAACTAACCACAAAATAAACACTGAGAAATAGATACACCACAACATAAATACGCCCTCATATTGTTCATTTATAAAACTTGTGGTGACATAACATTTTACTTTTAATATGTAAGTATGACAAATACCAGGACATTTGGGCATGCATGTTCAATTTCATTTGTGCCATAAAAATACCACATCATTTTTTATTTAGGGCATGACAGGTAGTGCAGGCATTGCATGAGAGACAACCGTTTTGATGAAAATACATGTGCATGTGCACGTAGTCAGAGTAGATTGACAGACCAATTGAATTTTGAGTAAAATTCAATGGCAGCAATAAACCAGCGATGAACCAAATTGCTGCGAACGAAAAATCTAGAATACAATATTGATATATCATCTGTTGAGAGACAAAAGGGCACTTCCTCTGTGTAAAATGATGTATGTTAACACCCTTCTGGCGCTGAGAAAATATATATCATGGGGCTGGAAAATGAATAACATAATCAAACAAAAAAAGGTCTTGCTCTATATATCTGAAAGAAGTACACTTTCTGTTCAGAGCCAGAAGGGCTTTAACTATGTATGAAAGCATTTAAGTTAACTCCCTCCTGGTTCCAACCAGTCAAAATATCTATTTCCTTGAAGTCACTAAGTATATTACTTGTACTTTGAATAAACCCAAAGTGCAGAAAGTCATATGGTCTCCTTGTTTTCCTTTTGTTGGCTGAATCAAAAGGGAGGAGTCCAAACTATGCAGGTACTTCATAGCAAACAACTTTTTGATTGCTGATCATTTTCAATTTCAAAATTATTCATTTAATCTGAATTTTATCCAGTGCTTCACACTTGATTAAGACTGCAATCGTATTATACCATCCCTTCGTCATATGCACACCAAATGTAAATGTCAACACATATTCTAAATATATTCAGATTGTATTTTTCACACACGATTGTGAAGACTTTCGAGAAACCATCTCAAGGTCAATTTCAATACCCTATTGCATTTATTGTATAGAACTCGTGTCTGGATTACGCAATACAGTGTTTGTACATTTCTATAGATGAAGGACAATGTTCTACTGAAATTGCCTTAGGTCGATTTTCCGAAAGGCTTTGCAATCTTGTTCAATGGTCATCACACTTATAAACTTGAGTTCTGGTACAAATAGAAAATAATTCTCACAGAATCCAACAAAACTTACACTGAATGTTCAAGATTACTAATAAATGGGATGTGCCAAACAATTTTTGCAGAAAATGGATAGTGGCTGAGTAATGAGCATAGGAAGATTAGGAAATCCGGGTAATTAGGCCTGACACCACACAATTCATCATGTGCAAATGAGAGTTGTGGTTTTTATTGAAGATGCTGCCCATCAAGGTTTTAAGAGGTTTTTTTTATTTCACTGGTTCAAAAAACCAATCTAATGCAGGATAAACGATCCAGAATAAATCATAGCAATTTTTTTCTTCAAAATAAGATTCCCATACCAGAGCTCAAGATTAGCTTTGATATTGACTTGTGCTATTGAATTGAATTCAATTGAAATGTTATTGTCCCTTTCAGGAATTTTTTTTTTCACTGGTTTTACAGTCGTTGTACATGTATACATAATACAAGAAGAATACATAATACAATAATATCAAATGTACATGTTCACAAACGTAATTACATTGTAAGATTTGATTTGATTTGATTTATTTATTTATGTTTAAATTTCTTTTTCTTTTGAATTTTGACAAATATATAACAGACAAACTATTGCAAATTTTACACATGTTTAATGTTACCTTATAATCTAAGCACGACTATCACCATATGGACACCTATTCCACCAATGTGATGTTAACATCTTTCCTGTTGAATATCTTTCCCCTCCTCCCTCCCTCCTATGACTAACATTCATTCCCTTAATGTGATTACTGCCCTCTAGGAGCCGTCACGCGTTTACACCGAGCTGGAGGACCACGCCACATTTGACAGCAAATTGCGTCAAAATCTAATATGTCGATCAATCGTTCGTTTCCGCGGACGGTGCGTTTGACCTGCGTGGCACGGTGCGAGAGTGCTATCAAGTATGCAACATTCCTGGCTTTTTTTCTTCTTCTTCAAGATGGATGCAGGGAAACGGGAAGCTGGAGGCATTAATGGGGTATGATTAATCAAAGGCAATATTCACATTACTGTGTGTTTCACTGGGGGTATAGGGGGAGAGGGAGGAGGAGGAGGAGGAGGAGGAGGGGGAGGGGGAGGGGGAGGGGGAGGGGGTAGGGGGTAGGGGGAAGGTGCTAGGGAGAAGGGGGTAGGGGGAAGAGGGTAGAGAGGTGGGGAAGGGAAAGGGAAATGGGGGGGGGGGGGTGGGAGGGTGACTAATGTACCGCAAAGATTGTGGTTTAAATTAAAGACCACATTCATATTACTGAATGTTCAGCTGTAGGTACATGTAGGTGT